TTACAGCCAATCGCATGAGGTTTGATTACAGCCAATCGCATGAGGTTTGATTACAGCCAATCGCATGAGGTTTGATTACAGCCAATCGCATGAGGTTTGATTACAGCCAATCGCATGAGGTTTGATTACAGCCAATCGCATGAGGTTTGATTACAGCCAATCATGGTGCAGCTGTCACTGTAGCTCTCCTCCTGCAGCCACTTGGAGACACTTGGCCTCCCTCCGTACACATGAGCACAGCAGTCAGTCTGTTATAATCGGTCATTACAGGATCACTAAATTATAACTTAGATACAAATGTATTCATCTGAACTTTGTTTGTTTCTCTTTCAGTGTCACATTATCTCTGGAAGCCAAGTTAAATCTATTACATAATTACATGACGGTCACCTGGCTTTCTCTGCCGTGCGAGACGCAGGTAAACTTGGGGGGGACGGGGGGGGGGGCCATACACTATAAATTAAAGGAGATTTAAGGAGAAGTAGTGGAGAGTAAAATGTTCCCTGACGTGGTGCACTGCAGATGTCACATGCCGGCTCTATAGATCATCACAAGCCGCTGATCGCTCAGCTCATGCCTTCTCCCTGCAGAGAGTGGTGACTGTTAGTCCCCGCCCCCCCAAATGGATTGCCCCCTCCTTTCATGCTCATTGGAGAAACAGACAGGGGAGGATGCGGGCACAGCTTGCAATCAGAGGGGTGGATGCCGGCAGTAGCCCCCCCAGATGCTGGCTTTGGGGGTCACAGGAGGACATTAGTAAACGCTTGGCTTTAGTTCTCTTTTACGTGGAATATAATCCAGAGGAAGGGGTCCTATGCCAGGTAGCAGTGGTGGCCCCGTCCTTTGACTGACAGCTCAGTAGGAACTAGAGCTGCAGCTAACGATTATTTTCAAAATCGATTAGTTAGCCGATTATTAAGTTCGATTAATCGGTTAATCGGACAGAAAATTAAAATTTAAAAAAAACGGCTCCATTGATGGGACTGCTAGTTTGTATTGCGATTGTAGTCCATCACAGGAGCAAACTTGGAGCGGTGGAAGTAAAAAAGAAAAAAAAAAAGTGTGGTGTGCAATATAGTGAAATTAAAAGTGTAAAATTGAATGAATGCAGAATGGCACCGGCTATAGAGGACTACAAAACCCAGCAATAATGCATTATAGCTGGCGGTATTCTGCATTGCGCTGTATAATGTACTATTGCTGGGATTTGTAGTCCTCTATAGCTGGCGGTATTCTGCATTGCGCTGTATAATGTACTATTGCTGGGTTTTGTAGTCCTCTATAGCTGGTGGTGTTCGGCATTGCGCTGTATAATGTATTATTGCTGGGATTTGTTGTACTCCTCTATAGCTGGTGGTATTGTGCTGTATAACGTATTATTGCTGGGATTTGTAGTCCTCTATACAGCGCAATGCAGAATACCATCAGCTATATAGGAATACAACAAATCCCTGCAATACATTATACATACAGTGTATAATGTATTCCTCTATAGCTGATGGTACATTGCTCTGTATAATATACAGCACAATGTACCATCAGCTACAGAGGAATAAAAATCCCAGCAATACATTATAGAGCACCATGTGTGGGAAAGTGCAGGCTTACCTGAGCAGTCTTCCAGCAACTTGCTTCTGAGATCGGGCCTGTCTATCTGCCGCTGTCATCACCCCACACCTGCTCCTCCTTACTACTTCTCCCCGCGTCCCTGTGCCGATCGTGGATGTGGGCGGGCGGTGAGTGTGAGGCGGGGAGGAGGTGCGGCGTGTGTAGCGTGGATGCGGGTGGGTCTGGCAGCGGCGAGCGTGAGGTGGGGCGCGCAACGTGTGTGGAGCTGTGGACAGGGGCACCTTATCAAAAGCCGATTAATCGATTATTGAAAAAGTTGACAACTTTTTCAATAATCGATTATAATCGATTATGTCGATTAGTTGTTGCAGCCCTAGTAGGAACCCCTCCCCCTCTTTATTTGCATTGCTGTACTGGCCCCATCAGACGCCTTTGTACGGAATACATTCTCTGATTGGGGATTCATTAACCCCGTAAATTCCTTTTTATAAACTTCGACGTCAATGCAAAAATTTCAAATCAAAATGTTATGTTTTTAACGACATTTTGTTTTCCCGTGAGCCGTGATTTGGAGTTTAGCGAAGAAGTCGTTTAATTATTACGGAGATAATGAATCCATTCAGTACAAAGGCGCATGGCACCCCTGCTATCCTATTTCTGTGGACGCTGTGAGTGACGTCACCCCAGGAGATTGCCGGCTTCGGGGCATTACCTGGACTCGTCGGTATTAGGAGTCGAGCCGCATTCATTCCTTTATTCCGGTTATTTGTACAAACCGATATCTGTGCCCCCAAGTTTCATCGCGCAGCGACGTGCGGGTCGTACCCTGTAACTGAATGGACTGTTATCAGACAAATACGTCATGTGACTTTCCTTCATCAGATGAATCGTTAGCGATAAGCACTGGAAGATACTTTGTGACTAAATGCTATAAAGTGACTCATTGTAACTCAGCCGCTCCCTACCCATTGGGGTTTCCTCCCTATTCATTCACTGAAGAATATTATCCATGTATTTCTGATGTCAGCGTGGCAAGAAATGGTGCGTTTGATGATGCTGCCCCGTCTGCCATCGCCCTCTATCCCTGGGACCTCAGTCACTAGGACAGGAAGTGAGGGAAATCTCCCCAAATTCGGGTGCAGCTATAAAAATCTCAGCAAGATCCTGTTCCTCCCCCCACTCCATCTGAAACTAACAGAACTTTCTAGGCTGGAATTGGGTTGAAGGGAAACCGACAATCCAGAGTCCGTTTTTGTATCGTTAATGGACCGATCTTTGCCAATGGTGTCCGTGGAATGTGTGGACCTGGAATCTTTGGTCCGGCTTCCATCTTTTCATCTCTTTTCCTTCCTCTGCTTAGAATTAGATTTTCTTTTACATATAAAATAAATCAACTAAATGTAAATCTGCTTATTGAGGTAGAACCACCCCGATAAGCAGTTTTACATTTGGTCAGAACCGCTGTCTGTAAATCCACATTCACAATTCCTTATTGCCTTTGCAGCCAGCAAGGCCGAGTACCGCCGGGCTCATTGTCTTCTGTAATACTGCGTCACAGGTCCATACTGCCCCCCCCGTTCCTGATATTTCTGCAGTATATGTAATATGTTATACCGCATGAAGCTGCACCGAGGAGCATGTGACGCATGTGTTGTCAGTCCAGTTTAGTTAGCACACTAACGTAGGACGCATGTTTTACAATCTGCTGATTCTTTTGTATTACATATTCTATATACTATGCTTTTGTTTCTATAACGCAGGCTCCTCTCGCCCAGCCAGAGTCACCAACGGCATCCGCCGGGGACGAGGCAAGGTCTGCCGCAGAATCTGGAGAGTCAGACAAAGAGTCTGTATGCAGCAGCTCTGCAAGCAACGGAGGCAGCAAGACTGGGAAAGAGAAGGACAAGTCCAAGAAGGAGAGAGACAAAGAGAAGGAGAAGAAGAGAGCAGATTCGGTGGCCAACAAGCTGGGCAGCTTTGGCAAGAGCTTGGGGAGTAAATTGAAGAAGAACGTGGGTGGACTGATGCACAGCAAGGGCAGCAAGTCTGGCATGACCAATGGACAAGGCGACACGCTTGAGAAGAAAAAGAAAGGCTCGCTTAAGGGTCGGAAAGGGAGCAAAGACGACTCATCCCAGGGGGACTTGTCTACGTCGTCTGAGAAATCTTCTGGCAAATCGGCGTCTGACAAAAGCCAGGGTGACCCTTACAAGTACAGCAACGACGTCAAGCTAAGTCTCAGCATCTTGCGGGCGGCCATGCAAGGCGAGCGCAAGTTTATCTTCGCCTGCCTGTTAAAAACCAGCGAGCGCCAGCCGTACCAAAAGCAGATGATCCATAGGTATCTGACCGATGCTCATGAGAGGTTTGTAGCAGAGCAGAAGCAGAGAGAGGCCGAGAAAAAGACTCTGAACTGCGGCACAGCCAATCGGTTGGAGCAAGACACGTTGCAACCTAAAGCGGATGATTTGCTTCCGTTGCCCACCTATGCCCAGGCAACTGGTAACTATGGAATGGCGGGCATGGACTATGGGGTGAAAGCAGCGCTACCTTCCAGTTACTCTGGAGGATTTACCATCCCAAGACCTTCCATTGTGAACACTGACGGTGCTCCTAGCTACCAGGACAATAGAAGGCAAGTTGCAGGTGGGTCTTGTAACGGCATGCCCTCTTATGTCACTCTCCCCCGGCAACCTGTACAGGGTCGGCCTAATGCCTACCAGGCCGGCACGCTACAAGCGGGCGGCCATTCTCCCTCAGAGACGGAGCTTCCTCCGGTCTACCCCGCAGACATTGAGCAGACGGTCTGTGTCACGCACAGCAACGGCTACAGAGAATACACCACCGACCCTGCCCCCGTGTCCAGAGCCGTGTCCTCTGACGGCAGCAAAACCCGGACACTCTATAATGTCCAGCAGACCAAGTGTAAGCAAGTTCACTGCACTTTTTACGGACACCCCGAAACGGGGAACTACTGCTCATGTTGTTACAAGGAGGAACTGAGGCGGAAAGAGAGGGAGAAAGAGGCTTTAATACACAGGTTCTGAGGCTCTGACATACCTAGTGACTTGTATTCCACACAGTGTTCCAGCAGGGGGCAGCAGAGGGGAGAATAGTGCTGATGGGACGCCTCCTCCATGGGACGCCTGGGTGCTTTATTCCCCAATCAGCATTCCGGGACCGGCACCGATGGTTTCCCGGGAGCGGAAAACAAATTCAGGACCTAAAAATAATGCAATTTGGTCTTTTTTATGTGACGACCTCATTTCTGATTGTCTCTTTTAGCACTTTAGGTAAAGTATAAGTATACTGACATTTTGTTTCTTATTTAAAACTACAGCGGCCATGCGCCACCTGGTTGTAAAGGATTTTATCCTTCCTTTACCGAGAGCTTTGTTCCAAACATAGTAATTCTGAGATACTTTCTACAGACAAGGCCGATATCACCCCATCGAGCAGTTGGACCAATCCTATTGCTACACAAAACCCCTCCCAAGGTGTAGCTTGCCCTTTAAGAGGATTCGGTGTGGGGGGGGGGGTTTGTCCCCTTCTGTGGGGTTCTTTAGGAAGGAACTCTTCTCACTCCTGAAGTGGAGACTATTAGGTGATTCCTAGTGCTCATCTAAGGGCTTTGTGAAGTCTGTACCCCTTATCTGAGATGGCGCTGGTTATACGGGTAAGGGTTCAGACTTTACACCGCCTCTGCTTTTCATGGAAGGTAAAAGACGTTTAGAAAAACAAACGAACTGTATGTCAGACCTCAGATAAAGGAGTAAGTCCTCGTCTGCATGCAGGTTCAGGAGCAGTGAAGCGCATCGTTATCTTTGCTGACTCTAGCTGTGAGGAAATGGCGGGATCTACAAAGGATACTTGCTGCGTTACAGGTTCTCTTAGATGAGCTGAGGAATGTAAACCACTGAATAGCCCCATTGTGACAGGTGCCCTTCCTGCCCCTCTACAATACCTCACCATGGCAGGGCGGCTGAATGTAGGTTGGGTTTGAGTAGCACTACTACTGGCTGGACAGAGAGCAGAAGGCCAACCAACTAATATCATCTTCTCCTCGGTGTGCGGATCTGAAATGACTGGAACTGCCGGAGACTTGTACCGATCTCCTCCTCGTTCTCTGTCCCCGCCTTTCTTCCGGCAACTCCTCCTCTTCTTCTCTTTCCATCTGCTTCTAAGGAGAGCAGAAGGACCACTCGCATCTAATTCTTTCTGTGCTTCTTCTGCTGCCATGGTAACAGACGCATGAGATGCGGCACAAAGAAGATTGGCTTAAAGAGAACCGGTCACCTTGGAAATATCGTTACTCTTCATCAGTGTGACGCGAGTTATGGAATAGCCGTATGGTGAGCCGCCTGGGTGCTGTTGTCCTGGCGCTCGGCTGAGGGCGGAGTTCATGGAATAGCCGTATGGTGAGCCGCCTGGGTGCTGTTGTCCTGGCGCTCGGCTGAGGGCGGAGTTCATGGAATAGCCGTATGGTGAGCCGTCTGGGTGCTGTTGTCCTGGCGCTCGGCTGAGGGCGGAGTTCATGGAATAGCCGTATGGTACTCAGCCTGGGTGCTGTTGTCCTGGCGCTCGGCTGAGGGCGGAGTTATGGAATAGCCGTATGGTGCTCAGCCTGGGTGCTGTTGCCACGCTGTGACTGAAGGCGGCTCCGATGTCAGAAACAACAAAACCAGAGCAGGGAAAGGTTTATTCTGATCGTTGGTACTCAGCCTGGGTGCTGTTGTCCTGGCGCTCGGCTGAGGGCGGAGTTATGGAATAGCCGTATGGTACTCAGCCTGGGTGCTGTTGTCCTGGCGCTCGGCTGAGGGCGGAGTTATGGAATAGCCGTATGGTACTCAGCCTGGGTGCTGTTGTCCTGGCGCTCGGCTGAGGGCGGAGTTATGGAATAGCCGTATGGTACTCAGCCTGGGTGCTGTTGTCCTGGCGCTCGGCTGAGGGCGGAGTTATGGAATAGCCGTATGGTACTCAGCCTGGGTGCTGTTGTCCTGGCGCTCGGCTGAGGGCGGAGTTATGGAATAGCCGTATGGTACTCAGCCTGGGTGCTGTTGTCCTGGCGCTCGGCTGAGGGCGGAGTTATGGAATAGCCGTATGGTGAGCTGCCTGGGTGCTGTTCCTACGCTGTGACTGAAGGCGGCTCCGATGTCAGAAACAACAAAACCAGAGCAGGGAAAGGTTTATTCTGATCGATCGAGCATTCCGGGAGCTACGATCTAATAGCGGGAGACTCCCGGGTGACCCCCGACAGTCATTTGACCCCCGACGGGGTCGCAACCCCCAGGTTGAGAAGCGCTGGTCTAGTTGAAGGACCCCTCGTATGCATCTTCACGCTCTGCGTTCCATCCTCTGCGTTCCATCCTCTCTCATCCAATCCCCCCCATAAAACACAAGGGTGAGAGTCCCCTACGTTGGGGTGATGTGCAGCTTTGGTAGGAGGTTGCAGGGGATGTGGATCCTCAGCCATCATTTGTGTGGAAGCTCCGCCTATAACGCACATCCGATATTCAGTATTTCCAATGTGATCTCTTCTCTACGCTGACAAAGGAACACAACGTGTCTCCTCTTCCCTAATCCTCCTCCTAGGTTCCCTTTAATGCCCCAGCAGCACATACTTGCCTCTTCTCCACGCGGGGGCAGTACTTCCAGGTATAGAGGAGCATGTGACCCGCTCTCCTTTCTGTCATGTGATTGGCCCCCCGCACTGTTACATGGGGGCAGTTGGAGAGCCCAGCCCTGTGCACGCTCCATCTACAACGACTGGGAACTAACACCGGGGGAGGGGGATATGTGCTACCCCAAGTCCATCTGCCTCTTATCACATGAGGCGGCCATATTGTGAGCTGAGCCCTCCATGTTATACATAATCAGATCGGAGACCCCAAGGTCATAGGTCATGTAGAAAATGTTCATTTATATAAAGAAGCATTAAATCTGCTTCCTGTCACATCTTTACAACCGGAACCGCGGTGATGCCGCACCAGACGAGGGCCCAGCTCGGGTTTTGGGGTTTCCGCCATCGTAGAAGAATATGCAGCCGGGCCTAAGCTCCGCCTTCCTTGTGTCTGTCCCCTATAATGTAACCTTGGCTGACTTTATATGTTCAATAATGGGGGTGTGATGGGGGCAACGCTTTTAATCTGACATCCTGCTGGGGGGTGAACACAAAGTGTCCCGAGACCCCGCGCAGAAATAGATTTTTTTTAGCAGCTTTTTTTTTCTTTGCAAATATTGTCTTTGAATTGTACTAACGGAGAGACCAACTCAAACTGAACAGGCTGCATGTAATTGGGTCTCCTAGTGGCTTGCTTCCACCTACTGCCTGACGCATTTCACTCCACAGGCTGCAGTAATCACCATAACTGTGCAAAGGACATTGGTGAATAAACCGACTCCGTCATATCACCCATAGCTCCTCCTCATTGTAGCCAGGACACTTCCTGAGGGTTCCAGCAGAAAGCTCCAGAAAGTCGGTGAGGGGGGTATGTAGAGCTGTGCGAAATGGGCGCTGGTGGGTGAAGGGGGGGGCAGCTGGTGAGTGAAGTGGGGGGCAGCTGGTGAGTGAAGCGGGGGGCAGCTGGTGAGTGAAGCGGGCATCTCTGCTCTTATTGGCCTCTTATCAGGGTCCTGATCATTATACATTGTGCTGGAATATCGCCTACAATGTATCCGGAATCTGTACTTTGGGCCCCGCCTCCTCGCCGTGCAGCGCAGATCCGTTTCTTTCATTGCAATGCTGCGTTCTGCGTGCGTTTATTTTCCACACTACCTCTGTTCTGGCCGGAATTGTCACATTTTTATGACTCTGTGCTCTGTAATGGAGATATAAGACCCCAAAATCTAAATCTGACATTCGTGTTCTCGAGTTTAGATATTTGCTAGTAACCCACGAGGCCCCATCATCCATCATCACCCCCATCATCCATCATCACCCCCATCATCACCCACCGCTGTGTAGGAGTGACAGGTACTCTTCCATTGGTGACCATTGTATCTGATGTAATTCCCGCTTCTCGCTCTGCGTTTTGTAACTTGTAATATGCAAATGCCGCCATTTGTACATCTGACGGAAGCTGTACTCCCGGGGCCCCGCCCCCTCCTGCGCTGAGCGCGTCAGCTGCAGATTCGCCGTATTGGAGGTGAGTTTTAGCAGAATTTGCACAGATCTCTAACTGTAGAGCACAATTGGTCCTTATTTATCAAAGTCCCCTCTGTAACATTTTAGTTGTTTTGGGTTTTATTTTGTTGCTTCCTTTTTAAATGTTTTTATTGTAATCTTCTAATCCGAATTTACAAAGAATAACAATAGTAAGGAAACATTAAACACTAAATATATTTGTATGTTTCCTTTAGCAGAATATTCGGGGTGTTGGAACCCCGTCAACTTTTTATTGCTCTTCGTGTCACCCCATTGCAGATTTTTGTTTTCTCATTTCCTGTCCTGGTGACGTCAGTGCTGTGACAGGAAATGAGGAGAAATCTCCCGGACACTTCGGAGACATTGCAGTGTGATTGTACAATCTTAAAGCTGAACTCCGGGATAAGAAAATATCATCTAAATACCAAATGCATGTTTATTCCTCCAGACCTGGGCAGACCTTCCTGTAATAAAGACCGCTCTCTCCTTGTGCAGGGTGACTGGTCTTGTCTCCGCCCCCCTCCTGTAATACAGACCGCTCACTGCGTCTCTCTCCCCTTATGCAGTGTGACTGGTCTAGTCTCCGCCCCTCCTCTAATACAGACCGCCCACTGCTCTCTCTCCCCTTGTGCAGTGTGACTGGTCTCGTCTCCGCCCCCTCCTGTAATGAAGACCGGTCACTGCTGCTCTCTCTCTCTCCCCTTGTGCAGGGTGACTGGTCTTGTCTCCGCCCCCTCCTGTAGGTTTTTTTGCAGGCAGCCTGAAGTGGGTGGAGCCTGCTGGGCCCCTCCCACAGCTTTGCTTCTGCAATATAATTAAACGGAAGTCTCTGTGCCCGGAGATCAGCTTTAACTTTGGACGAAGCTTTGATTCCCACCACGTGCGCTGCGCTGCGTTGTTCTGCTCGG